GAAGAACCAAAAGGCTTTATGCAAATTTCAAGTTTATTCTCATTCATCCCTTTGTATTTCTATCTTTGGAGATATTAGTTTTTTTATTATCAATAAACTAATAAGTCTAAGGTATTTTCTGAAAAAAGAAAAGAAAAAAAAAGGAATTGTTTGCGTGGAAGTTGATTACTTGCTGAAAGAAAAGCCGATGGCCTTTTTTCATGGTTTGCCCCCACAGATGAGCAGGAGAGTATTTGAAGTTATAAGGATTGAAGTACCGAAGAACGATGCTTTAAAGTATGGGGATTTGGAAAGGACTTCTTTTGGTAAGAGAAATGAAGTGAGTCGAGATGTCAGTGTTGCGGATCGAGAAGGAAATGTGGAGTCGAGCAATGTAGTACCTTTTGAATTGTACAAGAGGCAAACAACTGTAGTTGTTCCGAGAGAGATCTTCTTGAGGGTTACTTGTGATGCTCTCTCACAGTATAAGTATGTCGGGCCCAATCAAAGGGCTGACCTCATTCTTGCATGCAGGTATTTCTTGTACGTACTTTTTACTATTTTAGACAATCATTTATCTTGCAAGTGTTAGTTTCTTAGGTAGACGTTGCTTATATATGTAATGCCCAAAACAATTATTATTTCTTGAAAAGGCATATGCATGTGTATGATGTATCATTAAGCTTGGAATTTTAAAGAAACATCGATGCATATACTATTAGTATTCTGCTTTCCGCCGACTCTAGTTTATATATATTATGGTCAATGTACACGGAACACAGACATCATGCTCCTAATACGTCCCTAGGTGTCTGACACGGCAATTGTCTAAGATACGGATGCAAGTACACAGCTAATTATGCATTTTTATCTAGATATGGGCATATTTAATCAATGTAAATTGTGTTTTTGTTACGCATATGAAAGAACCTAATGTTAGCAACATGATTATAAAATATTAGATTTCTTTTCCTTTTTTTTATTCCAAGAAAGGCACAATAGTGATCCAGAAAAGATATATTCGATCTGGCGCACTTCATACAAAGAGCAATTAGTGTGGAGCTGCTTCGGCCTCAACAAACTTGAGATTAACCATTTTACCCATCTACCAATTGTAATTTTCATGATTCAATACATAATGCCTTATAGTTCTCGCATTTTTTTAATTGAATTTTAATATCTACAATGTCTTCTTTCACGTTGGGTTTAAAATTTTACTTCAACTACTCAACTTCACACCGCACACACCCTCTTGTACTGATATTTTGTTTAGATACTGAAATAAAGGTTTCAAAGATTTAATGGTGTTTGGTTTTCTGTTATTAAGATTTCTCGTTTTTCTTCCTATCTTCTAGAATTCGGGAAAGGAAGGAATCTGTGACTGTTCTGTTATGTGGCACTAGTGGCTGTGGAAAATCTACTCTGTCATCTCTGCTGGTAAATCTACTCTTACCCATGCAGTTCACCCACTCTTCTCATGCAGCTTGCATTTTCATATTCTCTGATAACTTATTTATTGTGTATGTTGTTTTGTTCTTATCTCGTGTTTTTTCTCGTGTGTGTATGCACGTCTTGCGGCCATGTATCTCAACTTTCTTGAGATCTTCATACAATTCTATGCCAATTTTCAACTTATACTTCTTGGTAGCTCTTCGACCTTTTGGACTTACTAAACATATTATTCAACCAAAAAGTACCATAAGTACCTTCCATCTTAGCTATATCTTGTTTCTTAGATAATTGTACATGCCTTTCTGGTCTGTATTCTTGAGTTGTTGTATTTGGACGTTATGATATGGTAACCAGTTCGAGTTTTCTATGTTCTGTTAGATACTACTTTTTGATGAAACAAAGCTGGGGCATTTATGTACTTGCAAACAATTTCTTTGTACAATAAAATTCCTGTATATCTTAGCAGTTTTAGTTTTGTAATTTTTCCCCCCTACTATCTATGTTCCCTATGCAAATTTTTTCAATATTTCTCTGTATCATTGATTATTCAATTCGATCAATTTCTACGGAAAAACCTACTTTTGTTCTTCTGCTTCATTTTTTTTGGTTCACCTCATTGGTGGGTCTTTCTCAGCTAATTCCATAACTATATCAATTCAAGGAAATATTAGTCCATAACTTTCTTCTTGTATCTTCTATTATGAAGCAGATGATTTAATTATCTGAATCGGTGCTATATAATCCTGTCCTCTTTACCAGCATTGACCTATGTGCAATCCATCGTAGTTCCTGTATGTAAAAATGTGCTATAGTTTGACCTTTTTGGTTTTTTTCATTTTCACTCTTAGGTATCCAATTCATTGCCATTTCACATGTACATTTGTAATTGAAAAGAAAGGTTTTACTTGATACTTGCATGCGGTTTTTTTACAATAGAGAGCTGCTTGCCGTGTATTTGTAGTGTATAGGCATATATAATTTCCATGTTGAGGGAAGCATATTTATGACTACTTGTTTACCATACAGGGAAGCAGATTGGGCGTGACAACTGTGATTTCTACCGATTCTATACGCCACATGATGAGAAGTTTTGCTGATGAAAAGGAAAATCCTCTTCTTTGGGCTTCAACATATCATGCTGGAGAATGCTTAGATCCCGTGGCAGTCGCAGAAGCGAAGGCTAAACGAAGAGCGAAGAAACTTGCTGGCGTTTCTCATCCAATCGTCAAGGAAGAACTTTCTGCTGAAGCTTCAAATGTAAATGCTGGTGCCCGATCCCTAGAACAAGTTTCAGGAACTGAGAAGATTGGCAAAAAGCAAATGGCTATTGAGGGATTTAAAGCACAGAGTGAGATGGTTATTGATAGCCTTGACCGTTTAATCACTGCATGGGAAGATAGGAAAGAATCTGTTGTTGTTGAGGGTGTCCACTTAAGCCTTAATTTTGTGGTGGGTATTTGATTAATTACTGTTGTAAATTGTTTCACATATATTTACTGCATGCCTCGTTAAAATTCAGTTCTCCTTTTGACTGAAACAAATTGCTTTAGATTCTGTCATTAATAAACTGCTTTCTTTTCATCTTGCCAAGTTTGGAGGAATTTGTCTTCAGTTAGCTCTGATCCAATATTTTTGTGCACAAGGCCGTCATACTTTTCATGCATGTTCTATCTAATCAATCTGTCTATCGCTGATTTCTTCTTTTGTATTTTCCCAGGTGGGTCTCATGAAGAAGCATGCTTCAATAATACCATTTATGGTTTACATTACCAATGAAGAGAAACACATGGAAAGATTTGCAGTACGTGCAAAATACATGACGTTAGATCCGGCAAAAAATAAGTACGTTAAGTACATCCGTAATATTAGGACGATTCAGGAGTATCTATCTAACAGAGCTGACAAGCATCTTGTACCCAAAATCAATAACACAAATGTTGATCGAAGCGTGGCAGCCATTCATGCCACAGTCTTCAGCTGCCTGAGGAGGCGAGAGGCAGGGGAGGGCAGCCATTCATGCCACAGTCTTCAGCTGCCTGAGGAGGCGAGAGGCAGGGGAGCTCCTGTATGATTCAGCCACAAATACAGTATCCGTGGTACATGAAGAGTATAGAAACCAATGCACAGCTAACTCTGTGAGCTCCAAAGGAATGTTTCAGCTGATTCAGAGGAAAGGGTCTTCGAGGCATCTGATGGCTCTTCTTAATATAGATGGCTCCGTTGCCAAAGCTTGGCCTGTTGAGTCGAATGATGGCCACACCAAGTCCACATCTCGAGGAGGACCTATGTATGGTCCTTTACAGATTGGGAAGGCAGAGCCTGTAAATCTCCAGTTTGGTAATTTTGGGATCAGTGCTTGGCCTAGTGATATGTGTGGTACGAGTCATACAAGTCATGCTGGAAGTCATACTGGAAGCTTTGATGAGTCAAGGGCTGATGGCACAGAAACGGGGAGTAGATATTTTTCTTCATGTTGCAGTTCCCCAAAGTTTTCAGATACACCTGCTAAAGAAGTAAGTTTCACACTAGGTCATCAAAATTATCATCATCTTTGAACATGCATAGTTCCTATTATCATCATCTTGTGAAAAGTTGCCAGTATTCTTCAGTCATAGTCTACCAGTCTAGTACAAGTTCCTTTACCCTTCTCATTTTGCTTCACCAGATTTGAATGCTGCTTTATTAATTTAGGATTCGCAGGTCTCACAGTCATGCCTACCTTTTCCAATTGCTACTAATATGTAATACAGAAAACTGCTTTAAATCATGAAGTGGTGATACTCTTCGTACCGTGATGCATAGATATTCATCTCGCAATCCTTCACATTTTGTTAACTTCTTTGAAACCTGCTGTAAGGATATGGGGTATTGGGACCTAGGCTTGCTAGATGAAAGGCTGAAAAGTAACTAGTGAGAGTAAATATGTGTAGCATGCCAGTGAAGGGGTGTCTTCTAGTATCTTATATCTCCATCACCATTCATTATTGAAAGCTAGATATTTAGATTCCACTCCACCGTCTGGCTTTAAAATTGTTGCTGCAATGCATAATTTTGAAAGTCAACTTTCCATGATGGACCTATCTGCTAAATGACAGAAAATTCCAGAAGAAATTGCAACTTGTTTGCATAGGAGCAGTGGATTCTCATTTCTGCACTCATTTCTCAATTTATGGTTCGCGTGCTCATTGAGATGTTTGTCTTTTAGTTCAAAACTTAGGCCCGCCTTGACCTTTTATCTTTTTTCTTTTTCAGCTTAAGGCAGATTTATCAGTATCAGGCAGTGAAGAGGAAGCTGATGATCCACCTGATGTAGATAGTGATGAGGAGGATATAAGCGATGGAGATGAGAAAGAAATACATGATGAGGTATGAGCAAGACCTCAGTTTGGACCTGATAAAATGTTAGGTGCAAAGATTTCTGGGCATAGAGATGGACAACTATTTGCAGAATGGTCAAATGGACATGTAGTAGTCGTGGTCCTCTCTATATTAATAGTTTCTTTAACAGTCTTACATTGCCCACCGCACCCACCCCCCCCCCCCCACCCCAAAAAAAAAACACTATTCCAGTTCCTGATAGTCTCGTTGAAATTGTCGAAGGATGGTAGCCTCAGTAGTTGCCAACTCGTTTGCAAGCAAACATACTATTTTTGTCATTAGCAAAAAACAATTCACTCCCTGGTAGGCTGGTAGAAACTGCGGCTATGCCTCTGTAACATGTGAGCAGTTTGCAAGCACGTATACTGTTTTAGTCATTCATAGAAAAGTATAACGTGAAAGGTTAAATTTAAACTAGTACCTAATTAATTGGTTGGCTGTTTTCTTCACCAGATGGAAGGCTCAGTTGATGAAGACTCCACCAAATCTGACGAGGAGTACGATGACTTAGCTATGCGAGATGGCCAAGAGTGCGGTGGCTGGTCTGATGATGAAGTGGAGCTGGCCAAGGACAGGAAGCTAACATTAGAAAAGGGAACCACAGTAAACAATTCAAAGGTGACTGCAAGAAACTCAGAGAAATACCGACAAAATCTTGATCTCTTTCTGAAGTTAAGTCAAGGTTTGGGGGAAGCTTCACGCGCATACTCTCTGTTTCCAGACAGGAAAGAAAATAGTTCAGATGCAAGAGCAAGAACTCGGTCCCTCAGCGATTACTCGCTATTTCACAGCCAATTGCAGGTGGAGACGGGGCCATTGTTCAGAGGGCCTGTGGTTTCTGCCGCGCTTCTATGGTAGCTTTCAAGGAGTGTGAAGTAAAGAAGGTTTTTGTAGAGTGAGGCTCTGATGGACAAATGCCGTTGTGAGAACTTTCGCTTGCTTGTCAATGTAAATGGCTAGCTGAAGTGTTTCAAGTCGAAAAGTTTTGTTGTTGGATGTGTCTCTTTCTCCACCTCTCTTTGCTTCTATCTATTATCTTGGGGACTGCTGGATGGTTACGTAAGAAGATCCTAGGAATCTACTCTTTGAAAACAGACTCCTGGGACCTAAGAATCATATTCCGCACCATCAAATGGTTTTTCCAGTTTCTAGTCTGATAACAACTGGGATCTACCCAACAATCTGCTAACAGTAGTATAAAGTTTTGGAGCATGGGTAGCTATTACCATTAGCCTAAGTAGGTAAATATTTCTCTTTACATATTACCATTAAAACTTTTGATTGCCTTTTCCCCCCCTCTCAATCAAAAGTTTTGACATTACAATCCCTCTTTTATATGTGTAATGTAATAATAAGTAATACATACAAGTATAGAGTATAAATATAAATATAGATATAATAAATGAAATAAAAACATGCATAACAAACGTCTTCTGTTAGCCATCTCTCTCTCTCTCTCAAGAAAAAATTAGCCTTCCACATTTCATCGTTTGCTACATGCAAATAATGGTTTTCTTAGATGACCGGTTCCAAGCTAATCTACAATGAAAATTAAAATAACTTAGAGCGGGCGAGGGCGGGCGGGCGGGAGGGAGGGGGATAGAGAGAGAGAGAGAGAGACAGAGATGTTGCAAACAATCCCACCTTAATTTGAGTGGTGGGTGAAGCTTGTATATATCTTTAGAGTAGTTAAGTACAAGGATAAGTACGTAATCTAGAGTTTGGTGCAGGGATAGCTTCTGTTTGTTATAAAGATAAGTACACATAAATTATTCAAACTAAGCTAACCATATATTCAATCTTATCCCATATAAAATCACCTTGAGAGAGGAGGGCTTACGGTTGTGATCTCCAACAGGAACATCAAATTCATATTGTTGGTTATTTATTAATTATGTCATTAGACCTCCCAAATATCACTGACCATTATCTACAAAATAATTACATACTAGATCAATACGTTCAACTAAAAAGAAAGTCACTCATTCACCAAAATAAGAGAGGCAGAGAGCTACATGGTACTTTGGTGGTCAATCAAGTTGGCGGACACCATAAAGATGTGAGATTTTTTTATTGAAAGCTCGTTTCATTTCTTACTCACTACTGAATCAGTTTTTTATTTTCAAATCGGATAACGCTGAATCCGAATCTATGAAATGGCGACAGGGCAACCATAAGGAGAGAAGCCCTTTATCTATGCTTCGTAGGAGACCACGCAGAGCAGTGTAGCCTTCTGCTGCTGATCACATGTTTTTTTCGTCAGTTGCTATCAGTAAGTTTCACGCATGGTGTGAGGTAAAAAGTTACTTATTAATTGATGTTATTCAACACATTTTTGATAGAAATTATAAGTCCAACCATTGATACCCATACACATGTACTCTCGAGTATTCACAAATTTCTTTTTTTTTTTCTTATTTCAGGTAATTGCAGTTTAGACCCATCAATTACTAGAAAGTCAAGTAGTTTAGATACTACAATGCGCTTGAAGGTATTTAGATCGGAGATGAACTAGGATTCTTCGAGCATTGCTGTTTTGGAGCTTGATCAGATCTTTCTTTCTACAAAAGATTGGTTTTGATTAGAGAGATTATGTTTGGTCTCTCTAGTGATTATGTTGGGAATTAAGCTATAGGGTGTAAGTTTCAAATGAGAATGTTTGTACTATAATAGGACAACACGAGTAACTTGTCGTAGTTCAAATGTTGAAATGATTGTTATGGTGTAAATTCAATATGATAACAAAAGTGAAACATCTTGCATTGTCGGAAATATTGAGCAAAACACAATTCTTTGCTCTTATTTCCTTTTGTTATTATTTGTTGCGCGCAGCGGAAATTTCGGCAGCACTTCGACAGCACAATAAGAGTTAGGTCGCAATAAGAATTCTTGTTTCTCAAAGGGAACAAGAATCTGAAGCCTAATATCTCATCAAAGTGGGATATTAGCTCTTCCTCTCGTCAGCTCTAGGACTGCACGTCGAGGGAACCTAAAAGCTATTACAAATCACACAAATAGCAGTACAACTATTTTTACGTGGTTCGGCAAATTGCCTACGTCCACGGGGCAAGGAGGGGGGAGATCTACTAATAGAGGGAAAGAATACAACTAGGGTTTACAATCACTCACAATCTAAACCCTCAAACAAACTCTCTCAAATCACTCACAAACTCTCTACAAAAGGATGCACAAAACCCTAGAGAAGGGCTACTCAAACACAAAGAAACAAAACAGAAAAAAACCCGACTCTGTTCCTTCTTTGATGCAGCCGCCTAACTAATCTCCTGCACCTGCACTTGCAGCCGCCAATCAAAAACAAACCCCTTGCACACAGCAGGCAGCCAACCGCACAAAAGAAATCAACTCCTTTGCACGCCACCTTGCCAATCAACCTCCTGCTAACCCAAAACCTAATAAACAATTGTTTATATATAGGCAGCAGTGCGGTTCGTGGGCCGGCTTCGTTTCTTTGCACGGAAACGAATCCACGCGATTTTTAAAACCGCGTCTCATTTACGTGGTAGACCCCACCCACGTTCACAATTCTCCATCTCGGTGAAGTTTTCTCAAAACTGAGCCGACACCAAAGCAACCAAATGTCCCACTTGTTGTGATCAGTATGAACTCAATCCATAACAAGTCGAGAACCCGAATGAGAGTCCAAACAATCTCACCCCATCAACTAATCCAAACCGGCTGCATCATAAAGACTGCCTACGTATCCTCTTGCCCAAGGAATCAAGCCTCCCGTAGTTCATCCAAATGGCCGCCAACGGCCTCAACAATCACGAATATGCAACAAGTTTCGACAATGATCAAACTTATTGCCCGGAACCACCTTAGTGAGCATATCTGCCGGATTATCTTTCGTGTGGACTTTCACAATTTTCACATCGCCATCTTCAAGAACATCCCGAACGAAGTGATAACGAACGTCAATGTGCTTCGTTCTCGCATGAAAAACCTGATTCTTCGCCAAATATATAGCACTCATGCTATCGCAATGAATAGTGACGGATCGCTGCGATATACCAAGTTCTTCCAAAAGTCCTCGAAGCCAAATAGCCTCCTTCACAGCCTCCGTAAGTACCTTGAATGTACCTCAAAATCCATTTCACAGCGTCCCAATGACCCACTCCTGGATCATGCATGTATCTTGATACCATGCTTACCGCCTGTGATAAATCTGGTCTCGTACATACCATTGCGTACATCAAGCTTCCAACCGCACTCGCATATGGAGTCTTCGACATCAACTCACGATCTTCAACTGACTTTGGTGAAAGACCAGCTGAAAGCTTCAAATGGGCTCCCAAAGGTACACTAACTGGCTTCGTATCCATGCTAACATGGAATCGCTGTAGGACCTTTTTCAAATAAGCCACCTGTGTCAAACAAATTCTGCCCTTCTTCTTGTCTCTGCCGATCTCCATCCCTAAAATGCGCTTCGCCTCGCCCAAGTCCTTCATCTCAAACTCATTTGAAAACTGAACTTTCAACTCATATATAGCCGACCTGGAAATAGAGGCAACCAACATGTCATCGACATAGAGCAAAAAATAAATGTACACACCTCCTTTCAACTTGCGAAAATATATGCAAGGATCAAACTGGCTCCGAGTGTACGAATGACCAATCATAAAACCATCGAATCGCCTATACCATTGTCGAGGAGACTGCTTCAAACCGTATAGCGATTTCTTCAGTTTGCAAACTAATTTTTCCTTCCCTGCAGTTCGAAATCCCAATGGCTGAGTCATATATATTTCTTCATCAAGATCACCATGGAGAAATGTCGTCTTCACATCCAACTGATCTAACTCCAAACCATATTGTGCCGTCAAAGCTAGCAGAATCCGAATCGAAGAGTGCTTTGTAGGCATCGAAAATTGCCTATAGGTCTCCACGAATGGCTCAGTGTTAAGGAACGACAATGAACGTCCCCATCCGATCCACAAGAGTTCGATTGACGTCGATGAACGATTGAAGTGAATCGACGAACGACGTGAACCGATAGAATTTCGGAATAACGGAGGCACGGGCCAATCGGGAACCCTACGCTGTTCGCAAAAAGAACAACGCCCTTCGTGTCTCGTTCATTCTACAGATAATCCAACCATTGGAGCTGATAAAACTCTTCGTTAGATTTCCAACGCACTTCGAATCACTAAAATCCGAGTTCGGACGAAGAATTTACAGCGGAAGCGGACGAATGCACCTCAACGGAATGTCTCGGAAATTCCGAGACACCCCAGGGGTGTCTCGGAAATTCCGAGACACCCTTGGGGTGTCTCGGAAATTCCGAGACACCCCTAGGGTGTCTCGGATTTTCTGAGACACCGAGACACCCCAAGGGTGTCTCGGAAATTCCGAGACACCCTAGGGTGTCTCGGATTTGCCTAGACACCCCAGGGGTGTCCCAACGCCCTAGGTGCCCTCATTGCCTATAAATAGGAACCTTAGACCTCACTTTTGGAGGATCTGGATTTTTGGAGAGTTGGCGAAGCCCTGCTGCAGTGAAGAGTAGTCGAGCGCTTCAACACAAGGGAATTCCTCATCACCCGTGTCCGTTCCTTAGCATTACCCTTCGCCGGTAATCCTAAGAAGAGCAAATATCTCGCTTTAGCCGAGATAGGCGCTTCAAGCTTCTAGATCTCCTCGCGGATCGATGAAGCTCTGCCTGATTTTTCTGGATCAGATCTGATTGCCAGGTAGTCCACGGATATCGACGTCCCCGTCACAGGCCAAAGACCCACGCAAGCAAGAGACGATAAACGGATCTTGCGTTTATTTTCAAGAAAGTTGTAATTTTTATTTTCGTTATTTGAATTCATTTGTAAACGTTTAAGTTTTAATGAAATCAATGATGAAGGCAACTTTCGACGAAAAAAAACTGGCGACCACAGTGGGAGCCAACAGCCTCGCTGCCGAGGCTGTCGTGACGCAACCGGCATTCAAGATCCGGGTGAATGAAGAAATCGAATACGAGTTCGATCAATAAAAGTTTGAAGAGT